CACAAACCTGAGAACTTCAGGCAGGAAAAACTTTATACCTACAACCCAGACACACTGACAGGWCAGAGCRAGACAAGCATGACCCAAGACAGAGWAAAAGCAGAAGGGCAGGAAGCAGGAGGCATCCCTCAAAGCTTTGAATGATGAAGCTTTTGACCCTGTATTGCTGGAAGAAAATAAAATAATACTTCGAAGAAGAACCAGTTATGAGAGCAGTGGGAGCTGAGGTTATCTCACAGTATCACAGTTGGTATCCCACACCGTGCTCTGTTGTGATGCACCCCAGCTTCTAAGCCCTGTGACCATCAGCTGCTGATGACCTTTTACTCCCCCACTGGCTTTATCTAATGAGTGCACAAAATGGAGCTGGCAGCAGGATGGCCTTTCAACAACACACAGTTAYTGAAATACCTACACCAGCCAGATCACTCTCCTCTATGTGTATATCAGAAGCTCATAAAGCACCAGTGAAATGGGGATAAAGTCTGATGTTTATGTGTCAGTGGGATATAATGTTTGAAACAGCAACTGCAAAATGCAGGCAAAGACTGTGTGATCCTGACTGGTGCTTTCTGTGGGCCAGGGAAAGCAGGAAAGCCTCTGCCCTCTTGGTCAAGCACTGCACAACAGGCTGCCATTCTGGGGGCTGCAGCCAGAGAGGTGGGAACACCCTTCAGCAAAGCACTGCTGACTCTGCCTGCAGGCATCCCAGCAAAAAAACGGACCAAGAACTGTTCTGTAGAGGTGCTATGTGATACTCTGAAGGCAGAGATCCCAAATCATCCTACAGACATCACCCAAACCAATGAGTAAAAGCTATCTGGAAGAATGAGYAGTAAGTACAGGCAACCATAGGAGCACCCAGCATAACATGACTCAGATCTCGATGGAAGCCTCTGGATGCCACTGTAATACAAATAAAAAAGAATAACGCAAGAGCAATCAGCCACTGCCGAAAAGAGGATCCCTGGCAGCTGGGGCTGTTTCTGTAATACTGCACATGCATCYTTTTGCATAAATATCATAGGTGCATTAACCTGTGAGAAAATCAACAGTAAGAAATCCTGCTTGCTGCCACTCACCATGGAAATCTCCCTTCCAAGGCAAGAGGGGGCTCAGGAAAGAGCACCAAACCTGAGGAGACTGGAGGAGAGGATTTAAGAAAGAAGACAGTAATACTTCTTAGCTTTTACAATGTAATATTGATCTGCTGCCTACAGCAATGGCTAAGCCTTCTTGAAGTTGAGGGGAGAGACAAGCGAGGCTAAAGAGCTGCTTGTCCATGGAGCACACAAGGTGGGATACAGGGCCTGTGTCTCACTTCTGACCCAAGGACCAGAAAAACTTCCTTTCTAGCATCCTGAGCCASCAAATCTGGGAACTACACCACAGCCCAAAGAGGGCTCACTGCCACACACAGAGTCAGAAGAGTTAAACACTTTCAGCAAGGCTGAACAGTACCAAAGGAACAATTGCAAAAGCCAGAGATTGGGAAGATGCAACACTAGGCAAGGAGGGGAACTTAATGAGCTATACCAGGATAAGAAAAAATAGTTACGAGACTGAATAGGCCATTTGCAGGAGGGAGACAGGTTGAACTGAGGATGTACCTCTTCAGAAATAATAGAAATCTCCTTGGTTGGAACAGCTCAAGCCAGACTGTCCTGACAGGAGTAAATAAGCAGAACACAGAGCCACTGATGAGAAGACTGATCTTTTTCATCTCAGAACTCAGAAGATTAGATACAGTCGGAGTTTTCCCACTTGGCACCACTCCAAACAGCCATACACACCTTGTTAGATAGTTATCACAAAACATATTTCAGAGAGGGTGGACAGCAAAAATTTCCTGGAGTTTATCTGGCTGCATCCTTAAGGAGATTGTTACCAGATAATCTTTTGCTCAGCACTAGGAAAGTACACAAAGGATCACCTTCTGTCACCCCTGACAAACTACATCTGGGTTATGGGAAGGGAAATACTCACAGGAATTCTGAAAATAATCTCACCTCAACCTCCCCATCATGATATCACCAAGTGAAAACCTYCTTCCAATCACTGGCCAGGATTTCAAGGCTAACAGCCATACCAGGACTGTGGCATCTGATCTGATCACCTGCACTCCTGGAGGAGTTTAGTTTTCACTGTCTCCAAAACAGCCAAAGCCTGTAGGCACAACTATGGCCCAAAATCTGGATTTGTAATCCAGATATGACATACGGCTTTGGAACAGGTAATTCCGAAGTGCCAAATCTAGTGGTTCCTAGTGAACAGTAATATGAAGTGCTTTTATAAAGGGCTGGACATAACAGATTTTAAAGTATTACCTCACTCAAAAGCAACTCTAAAATCATGAGCCTGGGGTTTCTGCTTTACTCTTGCAGGCACCTTCTGCAAAGAYCTGCCTATTTCAGTTACCTCATYTTAAAAMTGCATCTGAAGCCTGAGAATCAAGTTGGGTRCTTTCCTCCTTTTGCATGACCATCTAAAGCAAAGAATATTCTGCCAGCCATGTCAGTCTTGCTGAGTTTTCTGTGTTATGCCTTCAACACCAACAAAAGTACCACATAGTCTTCAGAAGATTTATGTAGATAAAGGTGACCATTTTTAGCAGGACCAACAAAGAYATAAAAATTTTCAGCTCAAGTGGGCAACAGCTCTATCATGTGCAAAGATCTTACTTCTTACTTAGTAGAGATGAACCTGCAAGGTACAGGGACTGAATTCATGTCCACAGACCACCCTGGGAGACAATGTAATCATAGCATCTTCTTAAGCAAGAATGAGCCCTAATCACTGCCAGAACCAAGTTAGGAAGAGATTGTCACAGAGTAAGAAAGTACTAGATGGTGGCCAACTTATAAAAGTTCAGTATCCCTAACAACGAGCCAGACACTGAAGGAAGAACAACTGGGACCTTCAACTAAAATACACTTTACAAAATGTTAAATGGCAGATATGTAACAAAACTGTGTGACATTCATACTTTCACTGCTATGCCTCGAGTCCATTTTACAGAAACCTGTCAAATGAAATCATACTTGTTTATTCTGCATTTAAATGTAGGACCTGAGGCAGTCTGGTTTCTAAAAAAGACAGAAAAGGCACATATTGTCCCTGGCAGTTGCTTGGTTCTTGTAACAAAGACAATGCTTTGTTCCCTCTTTATTCCAAATAAAAATTATTTCAGCGCTCTGTTACATTACAATCTTGATAATATTTCTGCTTGCTGCCTCAGCACAGGTGGAAATTTAATTAAAATGGAAATTAAAGGAAGAAATATAGAAACAAAGTGCCATTAACCCACAACTCATCGCTCCCCCCCACCAAATCAGGTGATTCATACAGAGCATCCTCCAAATCTCATATAAGCCACTGTTAATGGATTAAGTGGCAGTGTCCCTTCTGCCTTCAGTTTCTAAATTCTTATCTGCTTTAGGTTGCTCCAGAAAGACTTCCAGCTGACAGCATGATTCTTAAAGAGACAAATCCTCCCTGGCAGTTTACAATCACATACCAACAACTACAGCATTGCGTGCACCCTTTCTGTTTGCACTGACAGAGGATGATGGTTCAGTGTTTAGGGTTCAGCATCCCACTCCCTTCAAGTCTAATTTGAAGCCCAGCCATTGCCTGGGCTGAATTTCTGACTGACTTGTCCATGACAGAGCAGTGAGCATTCCTAACATCTCCGTGCATGGTCACTGAAACAGCCATGACAGAATCACCCTCAGTTCACACAACTGCTCTGAACCACCCAAGWACAGACAAAGGGAGCAGAGACATTCAAAAGGATAACGCGAATATCAGAAAATCCTTCAGCATAATAATCAGCTGCCCAGCTCATCATTAACCATTTCCACACCTCTAGACCATGCCAAAGAAGTATCCAAAAGCCCAGCAAAAACAAGGGTGAACATCAGCATCCCTATTTTCCATGCTGGTGGCTGCAAATTCTGCAACACACAGAGGAAGCTGCAACAAGTTATGATCTGAAATGGCTGTTGGAGTAGCACGTTCCCTCATTCCCTGCTTACAGAGAGATGTGTGACACCTTCTACCCCCATCATCCAGTGCCTTTGGCTGTGAAAATGACCTCAGTGAAGAGGTACCCAGGTAGTGCTGAACACACACAGTGTGTGTGTCCTGCTGCCCAAGGAAATTGCTTTCATGAGCGATGGATTATTTTCTGCTACCACCCTCCCAATTTATAGCAAAAGGAGGTAGAGAAAAGGAGAGATAGAGGAGACCTTTGGCAGGCKCTCCTGCCCACATTACAGAAGTCACCCTCATGCCATTCGGTCCCAACAGGTCCCCAGGAGTTCAGAAAAGGGACTGCATCCTTATGAGGAACAGAATAGCCACATGAGCTGGACAAGGACCAAATACTMCCTGCCCTCCTCCAAACAGGGCTAACAGTCCCATGCACACACACATCCACTGAGCACTCAGAAGAGACACCAAAGCAAAGCCTTCATTCACCAATAAGCACTCGGGGACTCTTCGGTGGTCATACWCCCCCAAATTTTTGTCCTTTGCTTTCAAAGGGTACCTCTGCSTGGCCAGACCCGTGCACTCATCAGCCACCCATGGGGCACTGCCGGGGAACAGATGACAGTGCTGCGAGCAGGACAGCGGGGTTCACACCGTGAGAGGGCTYRGGGTGCCAGGCATGGAGCCACCCTACCCCGGGAGCCCAGCCCGACCCGAGGTGTCCGGGATGCCTGTCCGGCGTGGAGTACTCAGGGTGCTGTGCGTACCCAGGGATCTAAYCCCAAACTGGGGTCCCTGCGGTACCCAGGATTTGTGCCCAGCCTGGGTGCCCATCCCATCCCGGGRTGTCCAGAGCACCTATCCCGCTCCGGGTTGCATCGATCCTTAGGTACCCCGGGATACCGCGCCTGCCCGGGTTAACCGGGATGCTCAGGGTGCTGGGAATGCCGCGGGCGCTCAGGGTGCCGAGGGCACTCAGGGTGCCGCGGGTGCCGACCGAGCCGTACCTTTGAGGCGGTGGTGGCGGGCGCGGTGCAGGCGGCCCTGGCCGCCGCGGGGCAGCGCGGGGATGCTGGAGAAGCGGCTCCCCATGGCGGCATCCGAGCCGGGCCGGGCCGGGCGGCACCGCGCACGGTCTGTGTCCCCGGGGGCTGTGGCGGCGAGGGCGGAGGGCAGCGCCGGCTGTGAGGGCGCCGAGAGCCGCGGTCCCGCCCGCCGGGCCCCCCGCCCCGCTCGGCTCCGCGGCCGCTCGGCTCCGCTCGGCGGGGCGGGGCGGGGCGGCGGCACCGCGGCCCCCCCGCCGCGCCCGTCGCCATGGAGACACAGCTGTTCCGCCGGGGGGCGCGCCGCCCCGCCCAGATGTGCCACCGCTGGCGCGACAGGTGGGGACACGCGGAGTCTGTCCCTACCCCGGCACAGGGACAGCAAACCCCGAGAGCACACGCAGGGTCAAGGACATTATTGCCTTCCATTGCCCCCCCGGCACCTCCCTCGCACCTGCTGGCCCTAAACGCGCTTCCCCAGCCTCCTCCTCCCAGAAAGCACATTTGTGGCTAACCCCGGGATCCAGGCCCTTCAAAGAAGCTGCATCATGCAYGGACACTCACCCAGGCAGACCCGCTGTGGTGGGATGCAACTGTCCTAAAGCAGTTAGGATTCTCATGGATACAAATATGTCAGAGCAGCACTCGGGAAGGCAAAGAAGACGGGCAAGCTGCTCCTTGCACAGCCCTAGGGTAAGTGAATGAGCAGCCAGATAGTCAGAGGGGTGAATAGGTCCCTTACTGGTCCGTGACCTACCCAGTAAGTTGTGTGAGTGCCTGCAGCCACCACTTTACTCAACCCAGTGGCTCAAAGCAGTGAAAAGTCCCAGTCAACCTCGGGGAAGTAGGGTAGGGTAGAAATGGGGTAAAGGGAAACACTACACTGGCAGATCTCCTATGAAGGGTCAGGAGCTCATAYGGGTGAAGTGCCAGCATGGGGCACTGTCTGAACGTGTAGCCTCTGTGATGCTGTGATGCAAACACATCCCATGTGAGCTGGGACTGCCCTGTGTGGCTGCAGCCCTCGCAGCAGAGATGCGCCTCTGCGCAGCTCCTCTGCACTGCACCTCAAGAGCAGCAGTGCCGCAGACACAGATTGCTTGCACATGCTCAGGATATGCCCACACTGCTGGCTTTCCTGCCCTAAGAGAGAAGGTTCTGTGTTAACACTACACCTGTCCTCTATCAGATGTGTGGCTCCTCATTTGCCAGCCCTGGACCCATCCAGGCCAGTGAGTTGCTCCACAAAAGCAGCCACAGCTGTATAGGATGGGAAGGTTCCCCTTGTCCTCACCACAGCAGCTCCTTGGCTAAAGGAGAATTTCTCCYATGACAGCCACAAGCCAAGCCCTGGAGTTGTTCAGTTGGTACCACAGTAAAATCAATCCACAGCTCATGTTGTCYGTTGCATAATTACATTATCTTTGTCTTTCAAGAGGACTACAGGCTACAAGCTTCATCTAGAGTTTTAGTGGATGCTGAAGGCTGAAGCCATCTGCCATTCAGCTATGTCATGGGTATAAAAGGTCTTTTTCTTTCCTTCTATAGAATGAAAATTTAGTATTCAGCTTCCTTCCAAAATGTGATTTTGTCCATTTATCCATTTGCCTCCACCCTCCACTTTCCCTCCTCCTAGTAAATGTAAGAAAAGCGATTCCTGGTCAGGGATTACATATGAATTCAGGATTTCACCCTGAAAACAGTTACTGCTGCAATTGCCCCAATCAGAGAGACAAGAGACTCCCTGTTCTCTGAAACCACCCAAATACCTAACTTTCAGARGAGAAGGGGAAGGTTATTTCTGAGGTTAAATAACAAGATTTTACAAGAAATAATGAGAATCTCAACCAAAATATGATGCTTAGATCTGGATGAGGATTTCTTCTCAAGTGTGTGATATACAGGSCCAGGCTGAGGAACCATTACTGCCCTGCCCAGCATTTGATTGCACTGTGGGTGAGATGTGCACCACGTTTTTGCATCCTTTCTCATTCTCTCAGAAGCAGAAAGGAATGACCACACCAGTCAGAGTGAAGCCATGGTAGTGTGGTGTTGAAGCGTGGCTCAAACACAAGCCCTCTGTGTTTAGTCCTTCTGGTSTCTTGGGTCCTGTTTTGGCCCCATRGTAAGTCCACCAGCTGCCTCCAGATGCAGGAAGCTCAAGAGCAGAGGTGAGACAGAGACTGAGACTGAGACTGAGTCACATCTTTGTTTATATCCTTTGTGAACACTGTGTTTYCAGCCAGCTCATTACAGTGATCTCTAAAAGAAACCCATGACCCTGAGATGAGCTCAGCTGATTAGGGCATGGWGCTAATWACACCAAGGTTGTGGATTCAATCCCTGTGTGGGTCATTCACTTAAGAATTGGACTTGATGATCCTTGTAGGTCCCTTTCAGCACAGAATATTCTGTAATCTGTGACACAAGACTGGAATKGCCTTTAGAGGGGCATCTCCACCTCCTCAACATACAACATCTTTCATCCTCTTGGACCTAATTGTCCCTAACCAACAAAAAAAAACCTTGTTCTTTCTCCATTTATTTTCTCTAATCACTCTTTCTGCCTGTCCTTGAATTGCAAGAAGTCTTGAGCAGTCTTGGACTGTCACTTTTCTGGGAAGTTTCATGTTTAATGTGGCAGAAAGAGGTGTCAACATAAGGCAAATTATAATGGAAAGAGGCATCTTTCCATTGTATAAAAAAGGTCTTGAACAAGGAAAGGTACCAGTTTGGGACTGGAGGCATAGGGAACATCCATATAATGGCACAGAAGAGATTTCTGTGCAGCCACCCCCCCAATGACAGGCACTCACACATGTATCATGCAGGCTGCTAACCGTGCCTTGTGTCACAGCTCACCACAGGCTGGGCCTGCTCCCAGAAAGACCATGTGCTTTCTGCTTCTACCAAACCCATTCTGAGTTTTAGACACGAGGGATCAGTTTAACCGTGGTGCCATAGTGGGAACATTAAACTGTACCCCACACAGCTGGTGAGCTTTGTGCTCAATCACCACCCTTTTCAATCTGGAGAGCCAAGGTAAGGCATAGTTACACCAGTGAAAGGAGGAAGCCTTATAGGTCTGCTTTAGCAACATGTTCAGCTTCCATGAGGGATGGGCTTTTCTTTGCCTGGCACAGCAGCCTGCAGTGGGGAAGAATGCAAAACAGCATCAAGGGTTTGCTCTGATCGTACCTTGGCTCACTTTATCAGAGTCTTTGAATTTGCTCCTTACATTGGTTGGAGGAGAAGTGAGGAGGGGCTGCTTGCTGTCCTTGCCAACTTATGTCAGCTTTTCCTGCAAAAAAAATGTTGAGCAGGGTGAGAAATATGCTCTGTGATCACAGGGGCCCTTGATAGACAAAACAGGATCACACTGATTCTGGGGTTTTGCCTTTTTCCTGTGCTCTAGCAACAGGGAGCTTTGAAACAGCTTGCCAAAACTGCAGGGCTTTCACACCAGCAAGTCAGGACATTCCCTGTTTCTTAGTGTTAACTATATCAATTGAATTGGCTAATTAGGGACATGCAATTTTTTGGTACCAACCCTGCCAGGTACTGAGAGCCTGGTGCAGAGCATGCAGTGTGACAGAGCAGGATGACTTTGCACTGAGTTAAAGCTCCTCTCACCTTCTGAATTTGTGCGTGGGCACCTGACTTCCAGTTTGTAATTTGTGCATAGAAGTCAATGGAGACAATGCAGCCAGTCCAYGAATTTCATCTGGAGTTAGTATCAGCTCCAAGAAAAGTGCTGACATCATGATTATAATTATGGACAAACACGAGGAGGAAGGCTCTGCACAGTCACTCATGGAACAATGTCTACTGCCTTGAGTCACAAAACCACCCATCAGTTCTSTACCCAAGAGCTGCAGCTGTTCAGCTCAGACATGTGTGAAAGACCACAGAGGCAGGATGTGGAGGAGGATTTGTGAGAGTCTGGAGGGCAGTATCTACATTCAAAAGGTGTTTGCTGGAAGATAACCAGGCAGACTGCTACRTTTGGTACACAGGGATGCTCTCAGACTGCGAAGGGGGCAGGGTCAGATGAGTGCATTTGCATCTGAGGGCTCTGGGTATTCTGCAAAGGTCTTTAACTCTGAAGCACTATGCAGCAATGAAGCAAATGTAGTTAAAAATATCCTTTGCAAATCCTGTGTTTGTGCCTCCAGGCACATTAGCCCTCAAGGGGTTACACAATAAACCAGGTAACTACAAACAAAGGTGTAACTGAAGAATTGCAGGAACAGGAGTACACGCAAAGCCTGAGCCAACATTACCTGAGACATGGGTGAACATATCAGAATTCATATTCTGAGAGGMTGCTTGGRGTAGGARGTGTGACCCCRRGAATAAATGTCACAGGGTAAAACAYAAAGCAGTGAGTGGGCACTAGCCARGCMYTTTTARCTTTGAAACTCATGGGGTCCAGCAGCCTGGACCACTCACTGCCCCATATGTGAAKGAGAGYGCTGACAATGTGGCACTTAAGKCATCAAAGGGTCTGAGAATGGAAATATGCCATACATCCCTTCCAGAGCAAGGGTTGGTCCACTGGACCCTGCTGATTTCACACACACATTATTCTAATTCTTTCCCTTATATATTGAAGAAGGATCTCAAAAGCTGCTGCTTGAACTGCTGTAATTAAATGCCTGGCATCAGAACTTCAACAGATGTGGAAGAAAAAAACCACATCTATCCATGAAATGTATGGATCTGCATGCTGCACGGAGAAAAGATCATCTGGGAGATATTCATTGCACCTAGTTGTTGGGCTAATCCCTAATTTGTGTATTTTTAATTGCCTGAATGAAACAGGCATTATTGAAATGCTGTGTATCACCCCAAAATGAAATAACTTGCAGCCACTACATCAGGAAGGTTTACCCCCATTGCTGTCACCTCAGAAAYCTGTGCAAAATTGGATGCTTCTGGATGGCACAGAAGCAAATTTGGCCTTGTGAATTAAAATAGGAGGGGATGACAAGAGTCCACTCTCAGTCWCAGGWGAACAATTGTGTTTCTGTGTCTAARAGGACAACARATTTCACAGCAGCAACCAGAAGAGTATAYAAAGATACTTCTAGAGATAATAGGTT